AACGTCGAGATGCTCTTCGCCGGGTGAAGCGATGGCAGCAGAGTACAGGGCAGTTCCGAGCCACTGAGCAGCTATTCTTTGATGAGCAGCCACATTAACGTATCGATTTACCATCATTAGGCTCAGTGTTTTGTTATCGCTCAATTTAGTGATGATGAATTTACGGGATCATATCCAACACAGTATTGCTTGTGATATCCATGTTGATCCATTTGTTTGTTTGCACGTTGATATTGATTGAGTCAGCCCAGTGAGACTGTAAGAAACATACACCAACGAATTCGCGTCCTTTGTTGAACTAAACGCCTAGACTTACACATATACCAGGTCTAACATCAATCTTCCGTATATTTTATCTGAGCCATGGGTGAAATACTAACGGGGAAGGTAACACATTAACTTGTCGCTACTGAAATCATTCGAACCGAAAATGCTGTAGTTTTGGTTCGGTCGTCAAAGAGTGGTGTTGGCCACGAGAGAAATCGCGCTAAGTGACCGAGCAGTACCCTCCACCGACCTCCCACCCGATTTATTCCACATAGGCTGCTACCGATGTACATGGACTTGAAGTACATTTCCGTGATAGTAAACAGCTGGCGTAAAAACATAAATAACCAAGATCATCTATCAGATTCTCGTAAACATATTGCAACAGCAAGAAGACTGATACAATTGAGAACCACACTATCACATTTCTGGACTTCCGCGATTCTAATTGCGTTCCTAGTCGACTCCTCAACAAAGGTCGCCATAGATCTGCAGAGAATACGTGTTTCTAAGACTCAACGCAACATGCAAGGGGAATGTTCCACAGTCCTGAGTCCTTGAGAAGCGCCAACCAATCATCATCATTTTACACCGCTGATGAGCAAATGAATTGCCTGTTCCCTTTACTCGGACTTCTTCAACTGTTGGCAGCCCTTGAGAGCGTATTTGGCGTTACGCAGGAATTTAGGGCACATACCGCGAGTGGACATCTTCTTGTAGGTAGGGGCCTGACAGAACAAGCAACGTCCGTTTAGTCTACGCGAACACAATAAACCTCAACTAAGTTAGCGAAGCTCCATTTGCGATTTTCGTAGGTATAAAAACGAGCCCATCCTTTTACCTTCTTGATGCCGTTACGGTGGGCCTTCTTGTTCTGGTTATGGTTGGTATGGTTCTTGGACTTGGCCATGGTGACTGATTCTCAATGACTCGAGAGGACGGTTAGAGCACACCAAATAGGTAAATCGATTAAGCTACTGAGTTGAGGAAATGCAAGATTTCAAGATTACTCCAAGATGACGGTTTTTGATGATAGGGAGACTCCTCTAAGTGAGGCTATTCGAAAGTCTTCCGGGCGAACGTAATGGCAGTGTGGACCTTCCGAAAAGTATCGTTGGGGTAGGAAAAGATGATTAACATTAGTAACTATTGGAAGCTCTACTGGTGACACCAGTCTGGCATTGAAATGTGGGGAGGAGAATAAAGAAAAGAATGTGTGAAAGGTGGTACCCGTCAACTGCACCTTTTAAACATCTAGTTCGTTTTTGGAACCATCAATTTCGTCGGGACCGCGACATACGTCAGGCGAAGCTCATTGCGGTTGAGAGTAGTGGCGTGGGCTATCCAAAAAGCTTGGTCACCCTTGATGACAATTCCAAGGCTGTCAGGATTGCAGTCGTGGGCTCTCTAAGATGCGATATAACCACCACGACTTTGAAACAAAGAAAACGTCCTCTCTATTTCGAGCGAATGACCGAGTCATTTAATCCTTTAATGAAGCTCGGTGTGGAGAGTAACGAAGTACCTTCCAGTGCTGCAAATATGTGCTCGTTTTCCTCAGTTGAGCTCAATAGTTTCCTCACTAA